ACACTACTGGTTACCTTAAAGGTGCTCACAACTAGCTGCTATGGGGATCATTATCTTTCCCCACTTGAAAGACTTTAATGGCTTCCTAGGACTCTAAACACAAATGTCAATACCTTTGCCTAAAACTATCTTATGTAAAGCCTCTAGACGACCATCTAATCTTATCTTGTATTCATATTCTTCCTACTTCAGTCACATGGGCATTCTTTCAGTTCACTGAACAAATAAAATGATTAGTTCCAAGGACAAAGTGTTTTAGATGTGGGTTTTCAGTGTTGTGGATCAAACCTAGGACCTTGTTGGGGCTAGGTAACTGCTCTATCACTGAGCTACAACTCCAGTTTTACTTAAGGAAAAATATGCTATATTTCCTTGACAAATGTAAATCCCAACCACAGTAGAGATCACTAAAATGAGTAACAACTGCTACAGTTTCTAGAGCCATACATGGTATGTACAGAGGCAAAGATTAGCACAACTGGAAAGGTATCCAAATGTTCTGCCTCCAATTCATCTCTCCGACAATGCCAAAAGTCTCTCTACATCATGATAAAGAAAACTCAAAGGAAAAAGGGCCAAGGAAGGTGTACTGCAAGAAGTCTTTTTATAGATTTCAGTGTGATCTTTAAACAGCTTAATACTTTTCCATTTAGATAATTTGATATTGCAGCAAACTACACTTCCGTTCAATTCATGAATTAACAAGTGTCTGAACTCAAGAACTGCTTTTAAACAAATCTTCATCTGACAATAAACACACACCTTTTTAATTTATTGGGCAGGGTATCTCACTATGTAGACCAGGCTGACCTGGAACTCAGAGATCTGCCCGCTTGTGCCTCCCATGTGATTAAAGGTCAGCACCACCATGACCAGCATAGACACACGTCTTAAAGTACTTGACTTTAAACAGCATTGCTTTGCATATTTTGAACTGTGATTCATGTGTGTGGCATATACATGTGTACATGCTCATATGTGTGCATGTGGGTGCAAATGCCTGTGTATTTCGGCCAGAAGTTGACATTGGGTATCTTCCTCTATTGGTCTCTACCTTATTATTTTTAATAAATATTGGTGGTGGGTGTATATACCATGACACCTGTGTGGAGGTCAGAGGATAATTTGAGGGAGTCAGTTCTCTCCTTCCACCATGTGGGCTCCAAGAATTGAACTCAGGTTGTCAGTCCTGGTGATAAGCACCCTTACTTGCTGAGCCATCTCACGGGCCCTATCTTTCCACCTCATTTTCTGAGACAGATTCTCTCTCATAGAAACTTGTTGATTAAACCAGATAGACTGACAACAAGACCCTGGGATTCTCCTACTTGCTGCTGCATTTATGTGTGTGCTGTGGATGAGCTCAGATCCTCATGCTTCCACGACAAGCCCTTCGCCAACTGAGCCATCTTCCCAGCCCCTGAAATATAGTTTTAAAATATCTCAACGTTATTTCAAAAATTAAGAAACTCATAGAAATTTTCATTCAAACACTGCTCAGTTGCATTAATGTTCAGTAGTGTCCTGTAATCTTCATTCTCCAAGTTTATAAAAAGTAACTTTGGAACTTCAGTCCTGGTCAGCCCTCCTTCTCAGTCCACAAGCCTTTTGAAACTGCTGACTCCATTCATTTGGGGTCTCCTTTACTGCTAAAGCATAAGGAAACATAAAACATAACTGTACTTAGCAGGACTTTCTTAACAAGTATGAAGTGGTAGTTGTTTCCTTTCCTCTTCAGACAGAAGACACAGGACAGAAAGGCCAATGACTCTGATACTCCTCTTTGCACAGCATTTCTTTAAGAATGCCTGCAGACATGTTTCAGGAAATCAATTTTTCTCACAAACATTATCATTGACTAGAAAAAGCAAACACTCAGCAACTGTGTTTCAGAAGATTTTTGAGACAGGGTCTCCTGTAACCCTGGTTGGCCTGTATCTCAGAGCTTTGTCTGCCTTGGCCTCCCAAGTGCTGGGATGAAAGGTGTGCACCGCCACACCCTGTTTTTTTGTTTGTTTTTTGGTTGTTCATGTTCAGATTTTCAAACTTCTCCTTATACAGTCCTAAGACAATCCAGACCCAGAATGTGTAACTCACATAAACCATGCCAGCACAAATATGGAACCAGACAACTTTGGGCAGTGAGGTTTGCATTATTAAAATACAGCCATCATACGCTTAGAAATAACACAGGTATCTGACAGCTCCAACCCAGAGCATAGATGTCCCAAGCAAAATGCTGCAGAGATCATAATTTGTGAGATTCTGTGCTTCAATATCCATTTTATAAGCTTGTGTGTGGTATGTGTGCATGTTTTGTGCATGTGTGTTTAGTGCATGTGTGTGTATGAAGGCCAGAGGTTTATGTCAGGTGTCTTCCTGTATTGTTTACCACTTTGCTTTTTTTTTTGGATAGTTTCTCATTGAAGCCAAAGCTCATCAATTGACTAGACTTGACTAGTGAGCTCCAGCGATGTCTCCCCTGCCCCCAGCATTAGGGTTACAGGTGTGTGCCACCATGTCCAGCTTTTATGAGGGTGTTGGGGACCTGAACCCAGGTCTTTATGCTGACTGAGCCATCTTCCTAGCCCCTAACTTCCATTTTTAATATGGTTCCCATTATTGTCGGGTTTCTAATTACCAGGATATACAATCCAACTGATTAACTCCCATTGGCCAGCATCACACATGCATGCATACACTGCATTTTTTTCCAGGAGAAAACTTAGAAATACTTTTTATAACTTTAGAGCAAGAACAATGGCTCAAGATGGATGTAATGGTGCATGCTTTTAATTCCAGGGCTCAGGAGGCAGAGGCAGGCAGGCCTCTAAGGGTTTAAAGCAAGTCTGGTCTACATAGTAAGTTCCAGGTCAGTCAGGGCTACATAGTGAGACCCTGTCTCAAAATAAAAAATAAAAAGGAAAGGCAGGCTCTTGTGCACATCAAACATCAAGAAATACTTAAGAATTCATTTGCTGAATGGATCCACAGCGATTCAAATCTTTCTATTCCTTGATATTGGTGCTACTGTCAAAATCGATGTTGATTTTTGGCTCTGTGAGCTTTACTGTAAAATGTATCATATTCTGAAAGACTTAACAGTCTGGTAACTTGTGCAAAGGAATCACCTATAGGTAGGTCAGTGCTTTTAAGGTGAAAGACTTTCATTTGTCTTTAAGAAGGCCAATAAAAATCTTGTCTTCAGAATGACTGAGTCCAGACTTGCAGGTGCTTGGAAGCACTTGAAGGTCTAAGTGAGCACAGTATATCTCACTGAATGTTGATATCAGGTCTCAAGAAAACATGGGCCCTTTCTCATGATGTTGCCTATGGACTTTAAAGCCAATTTTTTTTTTTTTCGAGACAGGGTCTCTCTGTAGCCCCAGCTGGCCTGGAACTCACTATGTAGATCAGGCTGGCTTTAAACTCAGAGATCCTCCTGCCTCTGCCTCCTGACTGTTGGGATTAAAGGCATGCACCACCAGCCTGGTAAACCCGATTCTGTTGCCTTACTTTTGTCCATCATCAAGGGTCACCAGGGGAATATTCAGTAAATGATGGTACTGATTAAATGATGGCCAGGCACGGTGGTGCACACATTTAGTCCCAGCACTGGGAGGCAGAGGCAGGCGGATCTCTATGAGTTCAAGGCCAGCCTGGTCTACACAGTGAGTCCAGGACAGCTGGGGATAAAAAAAAAAAGGAAAGAAAAAGAAAAAAAAAATCTTTATGTGTCCCCTTGAGTGTATATATATATATATGATATAACTGCAGTCATCCTCATCTCCACAGGAATACCCTTTCAACTATTTAAAAGCAAGTATTCTCTTCTTTGAAAGCAATCACTAACTGGTTAACGAAGCCAAATCCAGCAAGCTATGTGGTGAGTACAGCTATCCTCAAAATCTGCAAACCCAGTTTCCATGGAACATGGTATCTGGCTTGCTATCTTCCACAAGAGTTCATGAAGTAATGCCAGGCATGGTGGTGCACGCCTTTAATCCCAGCATTTGGGAGGCAGAGGCAGGGGGGGCTCTTAGGTTGAGACCCGCCCGGGCTTCAGAGGGGGGTCCCGGAGAGCTAAAAAAACAAAAAAAAAAAAAAAAAAAAGAGTTCATGAAGTAAAATGTCAAGTCTTCTCTTACATTCTTCTTTCACCTCAGAATCAAGAGGCATCACTGCATCTCTTTGGCATCTTCCCCTCTGCCTACCAGGACCAAGGCTTAGTTTCACATGGGCAGACTCACTGCCTCTACCACTCAAGGCATGACACAGCTCCCCGTTGCAGGGGGAGGATTCCATGCATGTCTCAACTGAACATGCCTCTGCCCTGGGCTCATGGCCTTCTGGTTCCTAGTGTCCAGCAATGTGGCCTACTCAGCCCCCTCCAGCTCAGCCCCCTCCAGCTCTGGGTGCCAGCAGAGCCTTTGGTAAGATCTTTTTCATGCTGTTCCCTCTGTCCTGATTTTTCTTTACCTATCTTTTTGAATAGTTCATTTCTACTCTCCTTTATTATCTCAGTTCAATTCTCATTCTCTCACAGGGGTGGTCCCTAATCTCTTTAGTACAATTTAGGTCCATCTCTTTTGTAACACTTGTCAAACTATAATTTCGTACTTACTGGTGTGTGCCTATAGACTTTAAACATGAGATCTAGAACAGAAGTCACACTGGACTTGGGGGAAAGGCACCTCTCCCACTAAAATGGGAAGCTGAGAGATACAAATGGATGCTTAGCCAGGCATGGTGGCATATGCCTTTGCCTTTAATCCCACCACTCAGGAGGCAGAGACAGATCTCTGTGAGATCAAGTCCAGTCTGGTTTACATAGCAAGTTCCAGGCCAGCTTGGGATATAGGGCGGCCCTATCTCAAAAAAATGACCAAAAACAAGAACAGAAACACAAAAAACCCCAACCCCAAACCCAAACCTAAAACACAAAAAAATGGATGCTTATCTTTGTGGGGAAAACAAAAAACTTACATCTGTAATCTTACCTGATACTAGTTCACTATCTGATGAACTGTCAATATTGAAGTCATCAGTCACTGACTCCTATGTGGAATAAGAATTAAAGATACAGTACAAATTATAAGACTGAATATTTTCATAGCACATTGATTTGGTCTGAAAAAATATTGTCAACTTCATATGTTAGTTTCCTAGATTTTTAAAATCTGGAACTTGACTATCAAAATTAATACTAATGTCAAATAAGATATAAATAATAATTTTTTAAATCTTTTTGAGACAGGGTCTCCCTGTAGCCCCAACTGACCTGGAATTATTATTTTATGTGTATGAATGTATCGCCTGCATGTATGTGAGTGCACCCGTGTTGTGCAATGCCGCAGAGGTCAGAAGAGGGCGTCAGATCCCCTGGAACTGGAGTTACAGTTGTTAGCTGCCATGTGGGTGCTGGGAATCAGACCCGGGTCCTCTGCAAGAGCCGCCAGTGCTCTTTTCCAGCCCCCAAGATACAAATACTTTTTTTTTTTTTTATCTTTTTGAGACAGGGTCTCCCTGTAGCCCCAGCTGACCTGGAACTCGTTATGTAGACCAGGCTGACTTCAAACTCACAGACCACCTGCCTGCCTCTGCCTCATAAGTGCTGGGATTAAAGGCATGCACCACCAGGTCTGGCACAAATAATTCCTAAAATCCAAGTTTCCCCAAATTGCTTATGAATAGTTTTGAAATATAGTGCTAGTCTGGATATGTAGCTTAATTGTAAAGCACTTGCCTAGCATGCAAAATTCTCTGAGCCCAATCTCCAGTACTGCTAAAAATTAAACAAAATACAGTGACAAAGCCATATTAAATAATCTAGCCTGGCATGGTGGCACATGCCTGTAGTCCCAGAACTAAGGAGGCAGACGAAAATTATAAGTTTAAGACTAGCAACACATTGATTTCCTGCTCAATAAAAGAATATTACAATGTTATGTAACATACTGAACTCTTAGCAATGAATCATGTTTCTGGCTGCTAAAGGTCAAAGTCAAATGGAAAACATGAAAATGGCTTTAAATGTTAAGGTGCCATCCAACCAAAAGATGTTAAGGTTTTGGACCTGACATACAGCATCAGCCAGTAGTAAAGATTTCCCCCGATACTTGTTCAAGGAAGTGAAAAAGATCAAAGAACATGTGAATCTGCCTCAGTAAGAAATTCAAGGAGCTCCTGTCTAAAGACACACACATCATATTATTAAACGACAAACCTAGAAACTACAAAGCAACTATTAACAGAGAATATTCTTTCATCCTGAGGTGCATGCTGCTGCATGTCTCTGCCCTAGTGTATACAAGAAGTGCAGGAGAAGCACGTACACTTAGTGGAGTGATCCTCTCAGCTGCCGTCTCCTTGCCAGGGCTCTTTTCTTGCAGGGTTATTTCTCCTTTAACACTTAACTGACTGAAAACAAACAAACAAAAAAACCAAAACAGTTACAGTTAATTTGTAGCAACTGGATTTGCCTATGCCTTTAAAAAAAGATTTTATTTTTATGTTTGTCCATATGTAAGTGCATCCATACATACAATGCCTAAGGAAGCAGGAAGAGGGCATCTGATCCCCTGGAACTGGAGTTTGTGATGATTGTTGGCGGCTTTCTGGGTGCTGAGATCTGAATCCTGGTCCTCTGCAAGAGTCATTCCTTAACTGCTGAGTCATTCCCCCAGCCCTGGCCATGCCATTTTACAGTGGCTTGAAAAGCCCTTTAAATGCACCTTGAAGAAGTGAAGCCCGTATGTGCACCAAATTCCAAATGAAGTCCTAGAGGCTTTGTTTTCCTTTTGGGTAACCTGGCATCCATTAAAAACCACCACCACAACAAAATCTACCTGGGCTAGGGATGTAGCTCAGTTTGGTAGAGTACCTGCCTAGCATGCAAGGAGCCCTGGTTTCCACCCTCCAGCACCACATAAGCCCCAGGAAGATCACAAGTTGAAGGTCATCCTCTGCTACATAGCGTATTCGAGGCCAGCCTGAGCTACATGAGATCCCATCAGTCACACACTCACACACACCCCTTTAATTTCTAGGTCGTTGCTCTAAGAGCAAAACCAGAGTATTTGTTTTCTCTGTCGACTCCTTAAATGAGGCTACTAAGCAGATATTTAGATTAAAACTTTGAGAAAGCTGGTTTAGGCTGTAACTTGAGGCTACCCACCTTGGCGGGCCAGAGCTACCTCCCGGCCTGCTCAGTTCTGCTTTCTCTGTAATTTTCTGCAATACGTGCTCTTTGCCTCTTCCCTTCAGGCCTGCAAGGGGGTGGCATGTTTGAGGGGCCTCACTTGTGGCCTTGCCCAAGGCGTACCCCGTCCTGGGCCTCCCCCACTGGAGCCTCCACAACCTCTATCTGGGGGTCCCCGCTACTCTCCCACCACGGCGTCCACCCGGGTCATCCCCATGCGGTTTCCCAGTCCTGGGCCTCCCCGTCCTGGGCCCGGCCCACCCGCCGCCCGGTTGTGGAACGCAGGGCAGCCTGGCTTCCAGCTTTCGCCCAGACCTCGCAGGGCCTCCGTCTTCCCCAGTTCCGGCTTCGGGGTGAGCTTGAGCCCCCGGCCCGCCACCTTCCGGCGGGGGTAGACCCGCCGTGGACACGGGACCACGACATCCCAGCCTCGGGGCTCCGCAGTCCCCGGCTGGTCCATGGCCTTCGCCTGAGGAACCTGAGGTAAGGCAGGCGCCTCCCACCTTTTTATACCCGCGAGGCCGCGAAGGCTTCTGGGAAGACGGAGGCCCGCGCCGCCCCGCCCTGGAAGGCCAGGCAGCGCCTGGGACCCGGATCTGCCAGTCTCGGTTCGCAAGTCGCTGGTTGCCCGCTTCGCTTTGGGGCTTTTGTGATCACAAACCACCCCCACGGCATCTGTAGGGGGTCTGGACGCTGGAAGTAACTAGACCCAGAAACACTGAGAGCAAAACCAGGTCAAACCAAAAGGTTCTGCTCTGGCGATTCTGTTCCCAAATGACGAGGGTGGCTAAACTGCACCGACAGCTGTGAGGAGAGGGACGCACGAGGGCAGACACGGTACAAATCAGAGGTGGCAGAGTGCGCCATTTTAGGAGACCCTCCTGTAGTCTGTCCTTGACTAAATGGCATTATGGAAATAGTAAAGGCCATGGTCATGATGGAAAGCTTGATACTCTTTTGGAAGTCTGAAAATCATTTAAATCCGGAACATACTGGATAAAGAGCAAGCGTTCCAGCACAAAAGAACTGCACAAGGGAAAATCTCTCTGGTGCACTATAAGCTTTTAGAGTTTGTAGTGTGTGCCAGTGATACGGCTTGATACTTGGGTTACCATACACACCATGATTGACCATTATCAAGTAAATTTCCATCAGGGAATTACTTTATATAAGCATATAAAATAGTATAAACAATTGTGAGAAATAAAAAAAATCTTTATTTTTTTACAAAAGTTTGCATAAATGCATTTTATATTTTATATTCATGCTATTGTAACAAAGCAAATGAAAATATAATTACAGTTAAGATACCTCTATGCATATTTAAAAAGTATTTTAAACCCTCAATTTTCAAAAGTTGAAAGTAGAATAGCAGTTCTTCAAAAAATAGCCATTTACCCCCCCGCCATGCAATCATTGCAATGATTTAACGAGGAAGAGTAAAATAATCCGTCAAATGAATGCTTAAATGTGATAGTTACCTTAGGAAAACCCTTTCTGTTCGGGACCAAGTTTAGATATGCTTAAATTTCAAGTATATATCACCTCTGCATTATAGCAATTGATGTGTTCTCACTAAACAGGGTCTCATCTGAGGTTTGGTCCATATGGATCTAATCTCATTCTTCGGGAGTTATCTGTAGATTCACAGGCAGAATTATGCATACTTAAAGAATTTACGACAACCAAGATCCTTGACTTTTTCGAATAGTAGTGCTACCTTAAAAACTGCCAACTCATACTTTACCAGTTTTACATGATTAAATCATACTTTTTCCTGAGATATTACAATTAAATTTGTAAGTAGTTTGTTTTCATGCAAAAATACATTTTCCCATTCTTTACATTCATTTCCAGTAACATATCTTAAATAACTATATCACACTTGTGCTTTATACATTTGAAACACAAAGAACAATTCATTTTTTAAGTGCAGAAAAGTTAAAGCTAATTGGTTCTTTGATGGGTAATACAATGAAGTTTTAGGAGCTGATTTCAAATTGATAAAACATTATCTGATTGTAAGACTCTCAATGGAGATTTCTTTTTCTTCCTTTCTCCTACTTCTGGTTTTACTTAATTTTAGAATGACAAACTGACTTGTGCATGTGAGGGGGACATAAGGGAGACCTCTGAGTTTGAGATCCTAATACACGGACCTAGGCCTGCATACAACTTGCCAGAGTCTCCTCTAGCATCAGAGGGGAAGTCTCAATATTATGTATAAAGGCATCTTTCATGGCAAATGGGAAAAGGTGTACTTCTGTTTCAGAGTGTATACCCCATCAGGGAATGTTTGTAAAAATATGAGCATGAGAAACACATCTGAATGACAGATAAAAAGGTCAGACATTTCAGAACATATTTATGATTGAGGAACAAGGTCTCTGTAACACTTCTGGACTTTAAACAGAATCCAATGCACAGTGTGAATATGAATCTTAAGTAGTCTTTTCCCTATATTGTTTAAAGAGAAACACAAACTTATTTTTTCTCTCCTAAAATAAGACTGGAGAACCCGGAGGAGAGATTTTCCCACAAATACGTATTGTTTCATTGCCTCCCTGTTACCAAGTTCAGTGGGCTGGACAGAGGACTGTAGACACGCTTACTTAGCATGGTTCCCCATTTGCCATCTCGGCTCATCTGCACCCTCCTATGAACTGTGATAATTTCCACACAGGTCAAGAAGTCCAGTAGAAACACAAAATCTTTTGAGAAACCAGCAAACAAAAAGAAACCTTAAGTTGTCCATATCAATCATATCTAATTATGACAAAGAAAAAATAAAAACAAATTCTAAATCATTTGCTTAAATACTATTGGGATCAAAGCCAACTGTGAGATTTTAGTTGAGTAGCAGAACAATGGGAAATAGCTTATTTTATTTGAAATGCAAAACTACTTGCCCTTAAAATCATATGAGTATCTAATTCAGGTAATGATTTTCAATTGATAAAGTCCAGTGCTGTATAGATATGGTTTTGGATACATTATTTGCTTAGTCAGAAATCTCTTTCAAAATTAATGTGCACAGGGCTGGGGATGTAGCTCAGTGGTACAGCACTTGCTTAGTTTGTGCAAGGTCCTGGGTTCGATCCTCAGTACTGTGAGAAAAATATGCATAGAATTTGCTTATTTATTCAATGTGAAATTTATAGGTGCAACATTGGGTCGGTCTTCAGAGAGATTATGCTCAAGGAATGTGCAAACTAACAAACAAAAAACCCCGACTAGATGAAATGAAGCGGAGTCAACCCTCAATGTGGCTGAAATGTCAGCTTATAATCAATGGTGCAGATTTCATCCAATGGGCCCTCATGATGAGGCAGGTTTTAATGGATAGCATTCACTTATAAACAGTTTGAATCTCCTCCAGAGCTAAGTAGATTTGTCTTGCAACACTGAGCATATGTATTTTGAAAGAACATGTGAATTGCGTATGATTTATCCTTGGACTTTCAGAGTCCTGTTCCTATAGCACCACTCCCCTAGGGACTCTGCCTTCCTCAGCCCCTCAGTCTATAGCTCAGAATCAAACTGTATTCTATGGTACCAAAGCTTTTAACTCTTGGCACTCAAGTATAGGGTGTGTCTAAACATATGATGCAAGAAAGTTTTTTTTTGTTTTGTTTTTTTAAGACAGGGTCTCCCTGTAGCCCCAGCTGGCCTGAAACTCACTATGTAGACCAGGCTGGCCTTGAACTCACAGAGATCTGCCTGCCTCCACCTCCCAAGTACTGGGATTAAAGTCGTGTGCTGCCATGCCTGGCTGCAATAAAGATTTTATGGTTAAACTTAGGAGCATCTAAAGATTCTAGGAATAGAATTATGCCAGTAACAAATATTTTTCTATGATGGACTTACAACCAAATTTTCTAAGGAATTTTTGAAGTTCATATTACATTATTGGAAAGTTTTTTTTTTAAATAACATCTATTCTTCCTCACAATGTGCCTTGATAGGTATATGAAAAGAAAGCAAAATTGTTCAGAATTACAGCCATATTGGGTTTTCCAGGCCTGTCACAGATACAGTGAGCATGGAAAAGGGAAAGACCCAGCAGGGACGCAGGAACATTAAATGCTGCCCACCCTGAGAAATAACTCTTGAATTTCTTCTCCCAACTATTGTCCAAGAGTCCATTTGCTGCAGTCAACAGCAAATGACATTTTTTAAACGTCATTATGGTAGGAAGTCTATAAACACAAACATACTTTATCTACATTTCTGTAGGTAGCTTGTGAACATTACAATGAGAAGATGTACTGAAATATCTCTGTCAGTTGTTAAATATAACATTTGTTTGAAGAATATCTGCATTTTCACTTTTCACGAGAAAAAGTAAAAATCAGAGACAGTCAACAAGGATTTGTCATGTTTAAAGAATCTGCGTCAGCATGAATGTGAGTTATGTTTGTGTTTTAGGATGATTCTCTACATGTTGCTTTAATTTTTAATTCTCATGTAATTGTGATTTTTTTAACAATTAGTTATTTAATGAGGTAGTCCACATCACCTAGATATTTGCTGTCTGGTTACTACTCCACAAATAATTAAGTACAATATATCAGTCATGCTTTTCCTTTACATTTAATGGAATTCTGTGAACATCGAGAATATATTACTTTTAGTGGCACACAGTCTTTGAGAAAATGTCTTGATTTTTTTACATTGCCATTTGTGATATTTCTAGCAGCTTACTACAATATCATTTAATAAAAATAAAGTGATGGTAGAGAAAATATTGTTAAAGACTTCTTGGGACAGGAAAGGCTCAGTCGTAAAATTGGGTGCTTGTTTATTTTCGGCTGTCATTTTGATTCTTTTCTTTCAAGAATAATTATAATATTGCTGCAAAGTTCATTAGGCTGAGAAAAATGCCCCTTGAGCGTCACATGGAGGTTGAGTAAAGCTCTTCTATTTGTTTTCTGAAGTACTCTCTCAGCTCGGGTCTCTTAGCCTTTAGTGTTGGTGTCAGCAAACCATTCTGAACCGAGAACATGTCAGAGTGGATGTAAATGGCTTTAACCTAAAAACCAAATGCAGAGCATAGCTTTAATAGAAACAAAACACAGCATATATAGCATAAAAACAAATAAGCAAAAATGAGTAGGCGTCTAGATATAGCAATACCATGTTACATCAAAATGATGCTAACATGCATAAGTCAACCCAAATGACACATGTGAAAGCTGTCCTTTCCTCTTTCCATTCATCTGGGAAGTGGACAGGAATGAACAGGTTGCTTGCTCTGTGCCAGGCACTGGGAGTAGGAGTCATGAATAGCTCCACCCTCAGGAATGTATATTAGTGTCCGCAGAGCAGACAGAGAGATGCTGGACAACTGTTAATATGCAGCAGAAATAAAGGGTAGAGAACAGAGACCTGAGTTATGGTCTCTACTGAGTTATGAGAAGCAGCTGGGGCTGGGGGTGTATCTTAGTCAGTGGAGTGCTTGCCTAGCTGCATGACACTCTGGGTTTAATCCACAGCACCTTATAGAACCAGGGTGTGTTGGCACACACCTATAATCCTAGCACTCAGGAGGTGGAGGCAGGAGGACCAGAAGTTCAATGTCATCCATCGCTACATAGCAAGTTCAAGGTTGTACTGGGATGCTTGAGACCCTGCCTCAAACAAACCAGCAAATAAAGAAACAAGTAACAGTCAACCAGTAAAGGAAGGAAGGTGGGTAGGGAAAAGCATTATAGGCAAAAGCAATCCCAAGAACAAACCAGGGTTGGAGATGTTGTAGAGTGTGCAAAGGGACAGCTAAGTGGCTTCTTGCTGCTGTTACATGAAATAAGAGGTCAAGTGTGTGAGGGATGAGGCTGGAGTGGCAGATGGGCCAGTGATGGAGGAGCTCAAACTTTATTCCAAGGATAACAGGAAAGGACTGGAAATTCCTTTTTTTTTGAGACAGGGTCTCCCTGTAGCCCCAGCTGCCCTGGAACTCACTATGTAGACCAGGCTGGCCTTGAACTCACAGAGATCTGCCTGCCTCTGCCTCCCAAGCGCTGGGATTAAAGGCCACCACACCTAGCCAGGACTGGAAATTCTTACACGTACTAATGGCAGGAATGCACACACAATGTACAAAGCTCTCTCGTAGAGAACTTGGAAGATGGTTTTGGAGAGAATTAAGACTAAAAGTATCTGTCCTACAGACTGGAGACAAGATAGTCTACACATGGTACAGTGGTAGAAACAGAGGCAGGCAGGCAGTTCAGAGTGCTTCTGAGACACACTGACAAGATGTAATAAGGGGGGCAGCTTTGCGAATGTGTAGGCGTCTGCTTTAAATGGCTGCCCAGAAACAGTGCTGCCATTTGTAGTAAGAATACAACGTCAGGCCTGGCATGGTGGCGCATACCTTTAATCCCAGCACTCTGGAGGCAGAGGCAGGCAAATCTTTGTGAGTTGAAGGTCAGCCTATCTACATAGTGAATTCTGGGCCAGCTGGGGCCTAGGGAGACCCTGCCTCAAAAAGACCAAGGGGGAGGGGCGAATCAGGAAGGACAGAATGAGTTCAAGTTAAAAGGATGTTCTACCATGGACTTTTTTTTTTTTTTTTTTTTGAGGCAGGCTTTCATGTAGCCAGGCTGGCCTTAAATTCACTATGTAGATGAGGATGATCTTGAACATGTCCTCTTTCTTGCCTCCACCCTTCAGTGCTGGGATTTACAGGTGTGTGCCACTATGCCTGGTTTATGCAGTGCTGGGGATGGAACCCAGGACTTCATGCATGCTAGGCAAGCATTCTACCAACTGAGCCACATCCCCAGCCCATGCTGTGGACTTGAATCAAGTCTTTTAGAGAAGCACATGGAGGGATCTGATTTAGTGTTCCCTGCTGCCTCCTTCCATGAGGCAGAGCCCAGGCTCCTCATTCAAAGCCTCTGCAAGGTAGAATGGGGACTGGGAAGAATAGAGAGATGATCTAGGAGGGTTTGCTGGGCTCCTGCCATGTTGGGCTACAGCAGGAAGGCTCATGGGCAGTACTCTGAGACTATTATGTCTGAGCTGGAGCTGAATGCTGGAACGACACAATCTCCAAGAACTTATGTCCTTGGAACTGGGATCAAATTAAGTGATTTTTGTTAAGTTAATACACCCATATATTAAAAAGTGAGCAGGACTATAAATTGCTATAATACATACTTAAAATTATATACAAATACATGTGCCGAGTACACATACACATTTGCGTGGGGTTTTGATAACTGATACTCATTGAGCAGCTTCTATGTGTCAGGTACTGTGTTAGGCCCCTTCCCTCATGGAATGTAAATTTAATGAGAGATGCTAGTGTGGCATAATGAGTATTGGGACAAGCACAGGGTGGGGCCACCAGTTACAGCAGTTGCTTTTCTGGTACCCACTCCCCAGTTCTTCCATGTTAAGAGAACCCTGGCTTAGTTTGGGTTCCAAACAGTAAATACCACCACAGTCCTGTTCCCTGATTTCTCAGCCTGCCTTGCAGCTACAGGATAGCAATGAGGTCCATATTTGGATAGGGAGAAAGAAAAATTGACATGAGGTGAATGGAAGCTGGATGGCCAGTCAAGGTGGTTTGGGCTACAAAGCTGGCTGTGGAGATGGAAATAGACATTGGGGAAAGGACTTGGCAATTGGTTAGGGTACATGCTAAACAAAGAGGTGAGAAAGGTTCCCAATCTTTGGGGGAACAGAAAGACTTGCTGGAGACAGGAAGATCAAGGTTCACATTCAAGCGTGAAATGCCTCTGGGACATCAAAGTGGACTTTGGGGTTGGACATAGGAATCCAGAGGACAGGAACAGGTTAGGAGTGAGCTGAGAGGTAGAAAGGAATCAGAGTGTATGCTACAGAAGCTGTGACAGTAACAGTGACAAGTCAGGGTGCCAGGTGCTGCTGTCCAGGAAAGCTGCATATAAGGCCCATAAGCACAATCCAGAAATGCTATTTTGAAAAAGAAGTCGGGCTGAGAGATGGCTCAGCGGTTAAGAACACTGGCTGTTCTTGCAGAAGACTTGGGTTTGAATCCCAGAACCCACATGGCAGCTAATAACTGTCCATAACTCCAGTTTCAGGGGATCCAACAGCCTCTCCTGTCCTCCCCAGGCACTGCATGACACGGGTACATTTACCTATATGCAGGCAATACATGCATACACATAAAATAAAAATAATAAATAAATAATTCAGAAAGGAAGTCAATGTATGTAGATTGATTTGTAGATTTTACAAAAAATTCTACATGTCAATGCTGGGTTTCAAAGTCTCTGATGTTGGACTGGCAAGATGACTCAGTGGGTAAAGGCATCTGCTGCCAAGCCTGATGACCTGAGTTTGGTCCTTAGCAGCCACATGGTGGGAGAGAGCTGAGTCCCATAAGCTGTCCTTTGACACCCACATGTGCACCACAGTGCACACACACACACATACAAATAAGTAAACAAATGTCTTGGCAGATGGCTATTTAAAGAGGAAAAAGTATTCTTTGCCCAGAAAGCTCCATTACATCGACTGATTTTTCAGATAAAAAATGTAACACAAAAAGATCCCTAAAAATCTTATAATTCCAACTTTTTAAAAAGCTGTTAAGAGAAATTAAATTCTGTCATTTTAAACTCTATTTGTAATTAAAGAATGTCAACATGTTCAAAGAAGCTCAGAATTAATGGGTCCATCTTTATCTCTGGGAAACCTGTGCAAACCATGGATTAACTCTTACCTTAGAGTGGCTTCCTTTTAAATGAGGCCAGCGTTTGAAGGGACTGAAGTTCACTGGGAGTGGAGTGAGAGGTATGCTAAAACTACAGCTGATGTAGGAGCTGCCTCAACTTACCTTCTGTGTTGCAAGGACATCTACTTGGGATGCTCAATTTAAACAACTAGGAATTAGAGGTTCTTGACTGAAGAGAGCTATTATGAAATCCTTCAAATTTTAGCTTTTAGGGCTATAGAGAGATAGCTCACAGTACAGCGCTTGATTGGCAGGCTTGAAGCTCTTTGATCTCCAGAACCCACGTAAAAAGCATGGATGTGGTGGCATGTGCTCGTGTCCAGGAGACTCCCTGGGCTTGTTGGGTGGCCTGTCTAGCCTCACTGGTCAGCTCCCAGCAAATGAGAGACCTGGAAGGCATTCTGAGAATAACACATGAGGTTGTCCACTGGTCTCCACACATATGAACAGCCACACACATCAGCATAAAAAATTAAGTTCCTGGGGCTGGAGAAATGGTCCAGTGACTGAGAGCACTTGCTGCTCTTCCAGAGGACTTGAGTTTGGTTCCCAACACTCCTGTAAGGAGCCTCACAACAGCCTATAATTCCCACTTCAGAGTTTCCACATCCTCTTCTGGACTTTGCAGGCACCCCCGCCACACACCCATGCACACATAACTTTAAAAAAAATTAAGTTCTTGTTATTGAAAACTCAGTGTGTTTGCTATTCAAAGAAGCAAGGGTTTCTCAGGAATAGAAATGCTATTCTTTGCACCTTAAACATGCATTTCTTGCCGGGCCGTGGTAGTACATGACTTTTAGTCCCAGCACTAGGGAGTCAGAGGTAGGAGGATCTCTGTGAGTTTGAGGCCAGCCTGGTCTCCATAGTGAATCCAGGCCAGCTGTGGCTACAGGGAGACCCTGTCTCAAAAAGACCAAAATAATAATAATAATAATAATAATAATAATAATAATAAAATAATAATAATATACATAGGAACCTTGTGTTTGGAATGGAGAGATGTCTCAGCAGTTAAGGGCACCTATTGCTCTTGCAGAGGACTGAAATAATGAAAGGATCAAGGCAAGCTTACCAGGTCTGACTTGCAATTCCAAGGTCGTTAGCTGATCATTTACATTTCCAGCCGGATATGGCAGCACACGCCTTTAATCCCAGCACTCCGGCAGCAGAGGCAGGCAGATGTCTGTGAGACTGAGGCCAGCCTAGTCTACATAGTGAGTTCCAGGCCAGTTGGGGCTGCATGCAGACCTTGTCTCAAAAAGCCAAAAATCCAAAAAAGAAAAGAAAAAAAAGAAATA